AAGTCAAAGACAACCTGCTCTGAAGAGAGACAAATCTCTAGCTCTTCCTGTTTCGTTAGTAGCATGGATATGGGCCATGGTGGGATGGCAAGGGATCCAGTATTGTATTTTTAAGAGATATTTTTCAATGTAATTTTTTTCCTATTCCTAACATAAAGGAAGGGAAGGACCCTCAATTTCTCTGGAGTAGCTAGCTGTAAATCCCATTTATTTTTCAACCAACTCTACTAATAAGACAAAGAGATATTTCTCTAATAACATTGTCATGATTCATTTAATTGCTGTTTATCTGACTAACCAATTTGAAGATACTAATATGCAATACAACAACTATTGCTAATTTCCTGAAATTCTGTAGAGTCTGTATTGTTTTTGTGAATGTATGTGTGTTTGTTAATAAGTTTTTGTTATGGTTTGTGTCTGGGTGTCCCCCCAAAGCCTCATGCGGTCATGGGGCAGGCTTTTAGAGTTTGATTATGGGTGTGAGAGCTACACCTGCCCTGGGGTGCATAGTTTGCATATGTAAGGGAGAGGAAGAGGCTGCTTGTGGCCATTCCTCCCTGGTGTGCTTGTTGCTTTTGCTGTGTTCTGCCGCATGAGCTGTAGCCCTCTGCCATGTGCCAGTCTGCCTTGTAACCTGCCAAGTATGGACTGAAAACTCCACAAACTGTAAGCAAAACAAACCTTTCCTTCCTTAATTTTGGGTGTCGGCTATTTTGTCCCAGTAACAAGAGAAAAGTAACCAACACAGTTTTCATTCTTTTACCTTTAAAATAAAAAATAAATAAATAAAAGGAGATTTTTTTTTTTTGGATAATGTCAGCCTTGGCAGCAGTGCAGGTTTTGGCTGATGGGCATCCTCACCTTTTATTATATTTGGGTGTGTGGATATTTGAGTATGAAGTTTTGTTTTGAATCAAGGTTCTATCTGACTTGCCACCTGCCTTTCTGCAGATTCAAGCCGATTGTTTTCTTGACTCTGCATATATTTTAATGTTCTTTCTACAAGTGCTCTTTCTATGCATAATGTTCTTTTGCTGGCAAATGCCATATTCTTTGCTGAAAGAATCCATGGTCAGCTTGCTCAGTGTAGGAGAAATTTCCCTCAAGAAATCTCTAACTAACTTCTAGGTTCTTCTAGTAAGTCTTTAAAAGTAAATCATAAGTGAATATATAGTTCTGTGATTGTTTCCTATCATCTCTAGTAGTCCTTGAATTCTAATAGTGCAGGTTCCATGTACTTCTTATTAGGAATGATTTTTCTAGATTGAAGCACAATGATTATCTCTCAGTGAGAAGCTTTTGAATGAATGGATAAAGTATTTTGGTACTATCTGAGCCCTCCAAAAAGATAATATACTTAAATTTTCAAATTATCAAAGAATTTTAAAAGTAATGATTCTATGCTTTAAAAAGTCATATTAAATTATAGGAAGAATGTTGTAGGAAATCTTCTTCAGGCAAAGACCAACTGCCGTGTGTATACAACAGCCCACCTTCCTGAATAAAATATACAAACTTGATATTATATGTGTATATATATACATATATTTGCATACAAAGAGTAAGACATATTTGTTCTATAGATTTATTCCTTCACATAAGCACAGAGGTAATTTTGTAGAAAAACTAAGTTTTATATGCTGAATTTTGGAAATGATTATCACATCCTTTTATCAATGTCTCTGAATGTGTTCAACTTAATTAAAAACATAAAAGTATAATTTACGAGCATATAAATGCCATTTATACATACTAAATGCAATTATATAAAGTGACATTTATTCCACAGTATTTGCTCAAGTAGTTCAACACATTAACTTTGTATCTGGGTAGATGTGAGATTTAGAAATCAAAGGTTATATTTCATCTTTGTGTTAAAAGCCAAATCATTTCAAGGCTAAACTGAACATTTCAGTTTCTCTGAAGAGGAACCTTGACTCTTGAGACTGTCCTGCTGTCCAGTGTTTTCACTTTGTTTTGTTGTTAAAAGTTAAGTAAGCTTCACATGTGCAGTACTTGGTCTTTAGACTTTTAAGTCATTGCAAGTACCAAAACTATTTTCCCCTACAGTCAAATGACTGTCAACTCTAAATACTCACAGGTATTATGCCTTTATCATTTTTGTTTTGAATTTTATCATTTTATAGCCTGAGAGGATATATGCATGTATATGTTTACAAAACCTAAGAAACAGAAATCTTGGCACGGTGTACAAGTTACTACCCTCCTGGTAGGAAATTCCCCTTCACTGACTATCATCATTCAAACTCTCCGCCAACACTGGACATGAAGAAATCTCTTGACTCTTCAGAGCTTTTGCTCTACTTGCCAAGTGTGGCTGATTCCTGTGAAAATGGAACTTCAAATGTTACAGTTTAGTTCTACAATTACCCCAAAATGTCTCAGACGTTTAGAAGTGTGGCTTTCTGAACATATGAGAGTAACTGGATCAAGACGCACTATACCTATCAGTGAATCAATCCATGGATGAGTTCCTGGCTGAAAGTGCTGTTACCAGGTGTGGTCTCGTCCGAGGAGTCGGTCCCTGAGGTCGTGCTCTGGAAGGGTGAATTTTTCTTCCCAGGGTAACCCTTCTTTATCTGCTTCCTGGTTGCCAAGGGTTGAGCAGCTTTTCTTTTCTTTTCTTTTTTTTTTAAATTTTTTTAAAAATTTTTTTGTTTTTTTCCCATACCGGGAATCGAACTTGTGACCTTCCTCTTGCCAGGCATGCGCTGTGCCGCTGAGCTAAATCCCCAGCCCCAGCTTTTCTTGACATACCTTTCGACCATGCCATTTGTACTTTCCACCGGGCATGAATCAAATCTTTGGAAAGATACCAGAAACTTCTCCCCTTTTAAGTTGGATATTTTGTGCCATGGACAGAAGTGACTAATAATTCAAGTTATCTAAGAATAATATTACAATGCTATGAAAATTGACTTAAAATATTTTTTTTGTAATGCCCTTAATCCAAGTCAAATAAAGTAGTAATATCATGCTCTTGGAGCTATTTCAACAGAAAGAGTGTTTATAAACTATTTTTGAAAAGAATGACTTAAAAGTATCTTCAGCTAAGAGAACTCCTCCACTACTTCTGTCAGCCATGTTATAGTTCTGATGGTCTGGAAGGTTGTGAGCATTGTAAGCCAAAATGGGTGCAGTACTGTGGACTGTGGTGTAACAATATATTATGTTTCTTCAAGCCAAAATATTGGAAAAATTAATATAATTTTGTTCTTTAGACATTGTCCAAAATGGTCCAGGATATTATCCTTCCTCCTGCAAAACAATTGAAAATTCCTGTCACTTCACTTTTTAAGCCCAGTCAAGGATGAAACTGGAATCGAGATGGCTTTTCAATCAAATTCAAACTTTTAAAAAATTGTATATTATTTATATATTTGTTGTAATAAAGTGGAATATCGCTATGAATGGAAATGCTATTTTAATTTGGTCAAACAATTGTTTCCTGTTAGCTGATTTAAATTCCTTTTAATATTTATAACTTTTCAAAGTTATACGTGAAGAGTAGGAGAGTGTTTTAGTAAGTGAACTTGTGGCTGGTACAAATCAATGTAATCATATCGAAAATAATAAAGGATCCTCTTCCCCCCAGTCAGTAAATTACAGACTTACTATAGCTTTTTTTCACAGTAATACCTGTAGAAACATCTGACTTTTCCACCATGATCCACCATTAGACCAGTGTTTGTGGGAACAAAACATAAGGCACCTGGGTCTCCTAGTGCATTTCCTCTACTCTGTGTCCTGTAACACAAGGCACTAATTCTCAGTCTTCTTGAGCCTTGGAGGGACTGATTTCACTAGTGTTATAAATGTATCAATCGAACATCCTTACTGTCAAGGATTTGCCCATGCTTCAGTCCTGCATATCTCCAAATTTCAGTGATATTAAACTACAACAATATATTTCTTCCTTATATGACATTTCCATTGAAAGTTAATAATGAGCGAGAAAACGGCACTTACCCAAGACATGGACTGATGGATAACCCTCTATTATACATTGTTGTGTGCTGTTCGCAATGAGTGATTTCTAAGTTTCGAACTGTCAAATTAACGTCCGGCGTGGAAATGTCATGCACCGCTCCTGATTTTCACTCATTGGTCAGAAGAATGAAATAATACCACACAACTACAAAAATCGTCAGTAGTGAAATCTTATCAGTTTCCTCCAAAAGGGAAAGGAATGAATACATTTGGTATGTAGCACAAATTACTTTCGCCCTCTGGCTATCATAAATGCACCAACTCTTTTTCCCAAGGTCAAATACTGTTCTTTTCTCTTTAAGGGAAAGAGCCAGGAGTTTCATTAATTCCTGCACTAAGCCATAGTCACTGGTTCTGCTCTGTACTTGAATTCTAGGTCATACTTCATGCCCAAAAGAGTGTATGTATTGCCACTCTACATTAGAAAAAATACAAACTTTTAATTTGTACTTATATTTTTTCATTATCTTTTTATTTTGTTGTCTACTTCTAGCTTCAAGTGAATGGCACGTAGCAATAATTTCACAAAGAGCTTTACTTTATTTTTTGATGCTCAGTTTTTAGAAATATGTTTCTGTATATTGTGGAAAGAACTCCTGCTTTGAGCCTTGCAATATTCAGAAGGAGAGCAATACATCCTGCATTTGAGAAAATTTATTGGGCATTACCTCAAAAAAGAGTTCTCAGCAAGAAGTGTAGGAGCATAAATATTACAATTCTGATTGCATCCATGGAAATAGATAACTTTTACGCAAATTTCATTGTCTAAAATCTTCTTAGTGTTATGTCTCAGATATTAAAAATGACAAGTATTTTCCTCTTTCAATCCAGAGAGTTACCAAAGTGTGGGATCTTTCTCATTCCCTTTTATAACAGCAGCCAATGATTTCATGATTAGCATCTGTTCCTTGAAGCAGTTTGTGAAATGTAATCAATTATAACGAGCTAAAGCTGCTAACATTCTACTTTTCTCCTTTTTCTTTTAGAAGTATAATTTGAGAGGTACATTGTTTTCTTCTAACACTGTATTAGACAACGGTTTCTCATACGTTGTGCTGCTGCATTGCATCAATTCTGTTCTTCAGTCCTGCGCGTGTAGCTTTTGCTTTTTTGCCCTGAGGTAAGCCATTGATCTTGTTATAGCAGCATCTTTTATCAGGTACTGATTTTATATTACTAAGGAAGGACTGAGTTACACTATAGTACCAAAAGATTTCAAATTATCAATGGCTCTATAGTACAAATTAAATTTCTTATTAGCTAATCCAATATGAATAGAAAATAACTGTGTCAGAATGATATAGTAAGTACAGTCTCAGTCATTGCTAGTTTCCTAGAAATAGAGGATGTATAAATTTTTTTGAAAGTAAGTGCATGCTCAAACTCAAATTTGCACTCTCATATCCTAAAATTAATCATACAGCTATAATGATCATAACAGAGCCAGCATATGTAAGTCTAAACTTTGGCTGGAAGCAAAAAGAACTTGGAATGTCTAGCCAGCACACATAGACTTCTACAGAGACAGCTTCTGGAATGACCTGAACCGTGTACTGGCAGAACTGTGGAGAAATGATTATGAGGTGCCATTGTGATCTAAAAGTGCAAATATATAGTATGTGTTGGATATTTCCAATATTGGCATATAAAATAAAGTTTCTAAAAAATCTAAAGTAAGATTTGATTGAAAACATCAAATTGAGAGTCTTTAGTGATGAGCAAGAGAGATAAATTTCAGCAAAGAATAAACAGGATGAACTAATTTGGTCACGGTATTACTGACAAAGTCATACCTAAATGTAGTCATCACATTTACCCTCTCAGTAATCATACTCATTTTTGAAATGTTACTTTCAGTATTGAATATATATTAGATTTTTGATGATATATCATATAATATTAGTGTGTTTCAGTGATAGCTTGGGTGCATACCATAAACAAGGTTCTGGGTTTAATTCCCAGCACTGCAAAAAACAATAGCACTAATGAGCATTTAAAGAAAAACAAACACTTGAAAGTATTCTTTTTTTTTTTTGGTTTATTCTCCGGTACTGGGAACCGAACTCATGACCTTGGGCTTGCCAGGCAGGCGCTTTTGCTACTGAGCTAAATCCCCAGCCCCCAAAGTATTCTTATTACAAAGAAAATGAATATTTTAATATCATTTGTGAATCATTTGATAAGAACCACATTGCTTTGGTAGAATATAATATTATATTGTAATACTTTACTTTTTTATCATTTCTAAACTAATCACCCATAGATGTTATATAGGATAATGGGAATAACCACTTGATAGAAAATAAAACTTGGGAAAGTCTCCACAATATACAAGGAATTATAGATTAAAGTCATGAATAAAATGACATGTAGTGATACATATGCACTGCACATTTACTTTTTTATAAATCTAGAATTAACTTATTCTTCTATAATCATTACTTTCTGGAAGAAAGGTTTTTACAATTCAATGAAACTTCATTAAATGACTGAAGTATGTAATTTGTCATCATTCAGATGGGAAATTCTAATTAAAGCCAAAAATATGTACTTAAAAGTCTATTTGAGTTTCACTAAGAATCATACTTTAATGTTGCTGATTCATTACATATTTTCCTTTAGCTTCAACTTTTTGCAGTTAAACTGTGTACTTTGTATTGTTCTACAGAGTATTTTTACCACAGACCTTCATTTTACTTGTCTGTTGTAATTTGAAAAGATGTTACTAGAAAAATTAAATATATCTACAGTATTTATAAAATGTTTTTAAAGAATGTTTCCTTTCCTGAAGACAATTGAAATACTCTATATTGTATATGTTTCTTTACACGAAATAATGCTGCACTAGTTGGTGTTATGAAAAAACATATGGCAGGGTTCCATACAATTTCATATATTTGTCAATATTTTCTTTTGAGCTTGGTTCTTTGTCCTGGTATATTGCTTAGGATTAGGCTTCTCTCTAGAGGAACAGAAATTATTGTGTAGTTAATATTTATACTTAATAAATATTAAATGTACATGCATGTAGTTATGCAAGTGGTTTAGGTAGACTACAGGATCAGAGGCAGGAGTGTCCATGGTGGTTATGTTTAACCTCTAGCCTACTGCAGAGCTGAAGGATCCAGTAACTGCTCAGTCCAAGGACCAGGTAGCCACAGACAAGAGAGATCAAGTGTAGAGATCTAGTCTGAGATCAAAGGCCTGGGCACTTCTTGCAGTGACTCTGTTCTGAATTTGTTGGAAGGCTAAAAAAAAAATTATGTTCTGATGTCCATAGGAAGCAGTAGCAAAGACTCAAAGAGTTAAGCAGAAAGGAGTTTTTCAAGATGCATACCGGTTTCATTCCTTTCCTGGATTCCATCCAGGCTACCTACACCTGGGGTGAGTCTTTCTTCCTCATTTTGGTGACTTCTATGCCCATCCTCTGTGGAAACAGGCACACCATTTACCCACCTGGCAGGTGTCTCTGAACTCAATCAAGCTGACATTTCTTTTTAATTTTAAAGAGAAAATTGCCATATTATAACTGGGGGGAATCCTGGTTTATTAGAATTTTACTTGTCTAGACCAAATTGTAGAAGTCTGATTTCAGAGGATTAGAGTTTTAAAAATACACTGTTTAGAATATAATCTTCCCAATAAAACCATTTAGGTAATTTTATGTTACTCTGTTCCTTGTGTTATGTAATGGCTTAAAAATGCCATAGTTATGTACTTCAAAGAAAATTGTTAAACTCATCACACAAATTACATATCAGTTCTTGAATGTCAATGGCATATTATTAGCCATTGAAATTCCCGAGGATATATACACTTATAATGTCTTAGATAGAAATTTCAATATTAAGTTTAATTCTCTCAAAGACTTATCTACCCTGGGACCATTTTTCACCTTTATAATCATTGCAAAAATTAAGCAATTTGATGAATTTTAAAATACTGTTGTGAAATGATTACTTACACAAATACATTTCCTTTTGCAACAAAGAGGTCAAAATCATTATTTGGAACACTGGACACTCATCATAGGTCAGTATTAAATTATATAAAGTTTATAAAAATATTTGTTAAAATATATACATTAATTGATTTTTTGTTTGTTTGTTTTTCCAATACTAGGAATCGAACTCACGACCTTGCACTTGCCAGCCAGGCACTGTGCCACTGAGCTAAATCCCCAGCCCCTATACACAGTCACTGATAATCTTATTTGCCTCAGTTTTAATCTATAATTTAATCCCTAGCTAATAGATAAAATTGCCTTCAATTATCCTTAGTTTATTGAGAACTTGGAAAATAAATAATAAAAATAAGTTGTTTTTCTCATGCAAAATTAGTGAAAATCCTTTTGAGATATTTTTAATGATTAGGAATATGTATAAAACTATCCAGAATTTGAGTTTATTTCTCCTTTTATTCTTTTTAAGCCAACAGAGTCTTATACGGTATTGCAATAAAAGTTAATTTACTATGAATTCCATAAACATGAGCAAGCAAACAAATATGTTACCTTTTGTTTACCTTCCCTAAACCCCACAGACTGATAGAAATTATACAGGCAAACACCTTCTCTTATGCCATGTCCACGTCCATTGTAAAAGTTCCAGGTTAGTTATCTCACTTTAGTAAAAAATAACACCAAAACCTTATTTCTCATGACTTTTGGAAAAAATGTTTCTAAAATTTTGGAATAGTTTTCTGTTTATAAGTAAATTTTAAAAATAATATTTTCAATATTAAATTTTGAAGAAATAATAAGAAAATGCATCAATATATCCATTAACATAACACCATAAAACCAACATTTAGTTCATTTTGGATTTCATGTGTGTACTTGGAATGTGTATTGATTATATTTCCTTTTACAAACATAACTATATTTATTCATTTTAACATTCATTTACTGAATGACTTGCTGAGTACTTTGTAGACTCAGAAATCATACTAAGTCTATGCAAAAATTCTGAGTAAATCACTCATAATGTCCATATAGAATATGAAATATGATGAGAAAGGTAGAATTACATAAAATAAAGCAGCTGATTGGTTAATCTGTTTTATTATATGACCTTACATTCCTTTCTGAAATATAATGGGGAACAATGAAAATTTTGGTTGTTTGCTTATTCTTAATAAATAATGAGATTTAGATGTAATAATTAGATTTCTTATAAAAATATGAAATATACAATAGAATGTATATGCAATATACAAGTACAGAATAATGCATATACATAAATAATACTACATATAAAGCTAACTACATCCACATTTGTGTGTGTTTATAAACCTTATTTTAAGAAGTTATAAATTTCACTTACATTTTTGATCTACTTCATATATTCCTTATTCATTTTAAAAGATTTGCAGGATTTATATTTTTAAGCAAAGTAAGATTCACATTTTTTTCTTTTTTTACTGAGATGATTTCAGAAATTTACATCCTTCAAATATTTCTATAATTGTACAATTAGGGAATTTCATATTAATTTTGTAAAGATTTTAATTTTAGATTTTCTTCTTGATGGTCACAAATTATAGCAGACAAGATGCCCATCTGAAAGGTTTGAAGTCTTAGTTCTACACTGGGAGTTATAAAGACATAGAACTTTGGGTTTGGTTTTTTGATACAGGCTCTCACCTGGTAGACTAAACTGGTCTTCAGTTCAGGACAGTTCCACTGTCTCAGTTTTCTTAACTGCTGGGATTTCAGGCATGCACCAGTACACAGGTTTCAAAAAAGAATTTTAAGAGTCTAGGCTTTAATCTGAGAGAAGTGATTGCCTCCAGAGCAATTGAAAAAGACTGGTTTTCTGAGGACGTGGGAGTTTGCACAAAGTATGAGGGCGAGAGGAAAGTGGGAGGTTCTCAAGGGGAACTGAACTTATTCTCAGAGTGAGAGATACTTGTGGACCCACTGACACAGATAGCAGGAATCTTCAGAGCAGTAGACAACAATTGTAACATAATGAAATGGTCACATGCCCCACACTGAGGGAGTTTATGCTGCAAAGAAAATAACAGTAGTTTTCAAAGACAGCACAATTCATCCAACATAGTCTAAATTGTGCTTCTGAAAAATTTTAGATGGAATAATTTACATAAGTAGGCCTTCAATTCTACTTTTCCATTGATATGTGTGTGTGTGTGCGTGTCCCGCACAGCAAAATAAGGTAGGAAGAACATTAGCCAAATCAACTTTTTCACCAAATAGAATATGGAATAAATACTCCTAGCTCATTGATTTCTGTAACAATATTTGCATGAGCAGCTCATAATGAGGTATCAAAATATAAATATTAAAAGAATAATTAAACTATTCCTATCAAAAGGCTATGCCATAATAAGTGTCTTTGTTTTCTTGACCCTGAGATACAAGGACCAATGGCCAGTTTTAGAAACATACAAATATTACTTTTTATTATTCTGCTTATCATGTGGAGAGCAAACGATTTTTTCCTATAAATCTTGAATGGTAAGTAAAGTATAACATCTAAAATACAGATAAAACATATATAAAGCTTGACATTACACCGTCTATAAAATTAAAGATTTTAACATAAAATTTAAAAATGATTAATGATTATTTTAAATAGAACCTCAGTAAATATTGCTGTTCGCATTTAATAAGTGATGCATGAACCATAGCCATGAAGTATTTCAACAAAAGAAAATTCTATGTATCAGTTCACAAAGTCAGAAATGAAAGAGAGGGTAATAATAAAAGGAAATAAGTTTAATACTTTTATCAGAGATTCTTCAGTGTAACAGAAAGAAGTGATGTCTGGGAATGATTCTATTTTTCTGATTTTGTATAAAGATATATTTCTTAATCTATTTTTCCCTACTGAAAAAAACACTGAGATCTGATGAATCTTGCAATATCCCATAGTCATTCTATCAGTATCCATATCATCATTTCATAAAGTAATTTTATTTTATTAGATGTCTACAAGAAATTCACATTTCTATTACACTTTGTAAAGATAACTTCCACAACTGCATCAGAACTTTCAGAACTTTCGGAACTATAAGAATGATGCTGTAGGTGTATTCAAAGTGACATGAAATATTTGGGGGAAATTAATAGCAATGTGTCTTTTACTGTCATACTTTTAATAATTCACCAAATTTTTGGTTGCCCTTCATACATAGCAATAAAAATGTCAAAAAGCCAGATACTTTTCCATTTCAAATGTAACTGGGCCGGATTTCTGTTTATTTCTGCCCAATATTTCTCTCAATGCCCTTCAGTGGATGAATATGAGAAGCTCTAGAAAAGGCCTGCTGTATAGGGACAAATGATTTCCAGATATAGAACTATATCTGGAATAGTATAGATATAGTTAATCTAATAGATAGATATAGAATCTAATCTAATAGATATAGAATAGTGACATGCTGACCTACTCTGTTTCTTGTTTATACACAGATTACTTGTGGCATCTGTAGAAGGATTATTCAGAACTTCTCTGAAAACATAACATGACTTACAAATTGTGGCATGTTCCTCATTGTCCAGGAAAAACGACCATTTATTGTTCAGTGCGGTTTAGCTTTAAACTCGCAGAAATGATGAAGACAATAACTTGGCATTTACAGGAACTGTTTTATAGGAAAGCACATAGCTTCAAATGAGTATTTTAACTGCCTGGACAGCCACAATTATATTTCATAGGAGCTCATATGTATGTAAGTATGGATATCCTAAACTCACTCTTTTCTTCATCCTTTTTTGAGTCCAGAATGCAAGAGCTAGTGAGTGAATTTCATGTAATTTCTTTCAGATTACATTGGTACAGTACTATTGATTTTCCATTATTTGTATTTCCCTATAGGAATGCTGTAACAATAGTACTATGTACATTTTAAATATATACATAAACATAGTTACAAAGGTTCAATAGCAGCATCTCTTATTTTAATGGCTATGATCAGAAAAATATTAATCTAACAGCCAAAAATTTCTGTCATAATGGAAGTATTGTCCTGTGTCATAAATTTTAATTTTACAAAAGCATATTTATTTTAACCAGTTTTTATTTAATTTCTAAACGTAGTTGAATTGGGGACAGTTTTGTTATTTCCATTTCTGCTTGTGATTTTTTCAGTTAGCAATTTGTATGGATTACCATCCTTTCCCCAAAAGACGCTGAAGCTTGAATATAAATTAAGTCCTAGAGCATTCCCTTTCAAGTGCAGGATCACTGGGTTAATCTGTACATGAAACAGACTAGTTGCAGAATGGAAGATTTGCCATGTGGACAAAGGCTGGCAAAGCCAATATATTTTAGGAGATTTATCATGACACACTTTCCAAAAATTTCTTCACAGGAGCTCCATGTGGTCTACACTAATCTAATGACTCTGATTTTCTTTGATATTTAATTGAAACACAGATATATCTTGTATCTTTATGTTTTCTGGCAAACAAAAATCTAAAGAAACTGATCCCTTTGGACCACTGCTTTTGGCAATAAATCAGACTCAAAGCATGCATGCTATTTCATTTCTACATTTGTTTTATTTTAGGTCATTATTACAAAATGACAGCACAAGTGAAACCAGGACTGCAGCAGTTTCAAGAGGAAAAAACATGGCTAGATAGTTTCCACATAAGATGCTTACTAAAAATGTTGAGTGATGATGAGGGATGTATAAATTTCTCCTTTTAAAATCTCTATTTTTAGTTTAGACAATGAACACAATTTCAGTTAGGAGAAATACACACATGTGCTCTTTTACAATATTATGACCATTATTAAGAGTGGTGTTATAGTCTTGAAAATTGCTGAAAGCATAGATTTTAAATGTACTTAACACATCAGAAAGTAAATTTATGAAGTAATGAAATGTTACTTAACTTAATTCAGCCATTTTGTAATATATGTGTATTTCAAAATATCATGTTGCATATCGTATAGAAATACATCCTTAGTTGTCAATTAAAAGAGAAAGGAGACATTAAAATTTTTATATTATTATTGATATTTAAATAAAATAAGAACTACATAAAATATTGATAACAATAGCATATGGTTTATATAATATAAATACAAGTCTCTGTTTGAAGTAGGTGTTCTCTTTTATTCCTGTTGGTACTATAATTACAGAAAGTCTAACTGTAGCTTTTCATATTTGTGCATTTTAATGCTAGTTAATTAATTAAATATCTAATGATAATCTCAATACTGACTTATAATACAATAATAAACCAACCCTGCCTTAGAACTCCATCTAGAACACAAGACATCGTTTATTTCTTTTTCTGTTACCATTTCTTCCCAAGTAAGTGTATCTCTCATGGGAACACACTCCAAGGTGCTCACTGACACAGAGATGAAAAGATTGAAAATGTTGTGATCAGGGCTGAGGATATACCTCAGGGGCACAGCGCCTGCCTGGCAGCTGTAAAGTCCTGAGTTCGATTTTTGGTTCCAAAAAAAAACTGTTGTGATATACAAGGTTTTCAATAACGATGAAAAAGCTAACTCACTTCACAAGGGGAAATTCTCAGCAGAGCTCACGTGGAAGTAGATAGGTTTAGAAGATACTTCATGTAATAAGTAGTTTGTTAAAATCTTAAAGGCATCTTTCTGCATATTTTTATGTATTTTACCTTCATTGCTTTCTGAACCCAAGGTTATGATTTTCTTCCATTCTTTTTTTAGGCTTTTATATTTTTAGCTGACCATGGTATGTTCTGAAAGATGAAGTTGTTTTTGTCTTAATTAAATACCCAAACACATTTCTGAATTAAAATAAGCCTTAATTTTTTTCAATAAGAATGTATTTTATACTTTTTTCTCTTTTGTTTCTGGCAGTAAAATATGGAAAACACCGAGAAATTTCCTTATCATCTACCAGATTACAAAACCATTATTTTATAGGATTCATAGCAATAATTTCTTTTAAAGATTTAATAACTACTCAGAATGGTTTTCAGAAATGTGTTTAAAAATAAATCTTAATTATGATTTTATAATGTTCTTGCTATACTAGAAAATTACTATGTGAAATGGTACACAATGAATGATGAAAATAAACATGAATTTAAACACCATTTGCTCAGTGGATATTATAAATTGAAACATGACTGTGCTATTTACTCATTTTAATGCATGAGTAAAATTATACTCTGGTTGCTTAAGTGAGGTTATCATATTATTTTATTGTTATATAAAATAATTATTTGCTAGAAATGCAAACTACCAAAAGCCAAGGTGAAAATTTAAAAGGTTCTCTCTCTTTGTGCTCAGAAGAAGCAAACCTCACACCTAACCTGAGACTTCCACCCTCCAGAACAGTGAGATAATATATATTTGGTTTTTTTTAAAAAAAACTTGGTGACATTTTGTTACTGCTGCTATAGCAATCTAATACACTCATTTAGATTTTTATGAAACTGCAATGATAATGATATGTGGTCGTGAAAAAGTAGCAAAAATATAAATATAAATTCATGTTTCATTTGGTTTTAAAAGGAGTTACATTGAATCTGTGCTATTTCTATTAACTGTTTTCTTTTTTTTTTTTCTTTTTTTTTTTTTTTTTTTTTTTTGGTTTTTCTCCGGTACCGGGAACCGAACTCATGACCTTGCGCTTGCCAGGCAGGCGCTTTGCCGCTGAGCTAAATCCCCAGCCCCTCTATTAACTGTTTTCTTATAAGGTAGAAAATGATGTGCTCATTATCTTTTAAGAAATTTTAATCTAAATTAGATTTCAAAAGAAATTGAGAGGGTTTTTTTTCCCCACCATAGATATTACTATTTTTTTCACAGTACTGGGGATTAAACCAAAGGCCTTACACATAGTAAACAAGCACTCCGTCCTGATCTATACCACCAGTCTTTATTTTTGTCATTTTTTTTTTTTTTTTTTATTAAGAGAGTCTTGCTGAGTTGGCCAAGCTGGCCCCAGACACACACTCTGCCTCAGCTCCTGAAGGAACTGGTATAATAGTTGTGCATCGCCACAAGTGACTGATGTAGAACTGTCTCCATCATTTACTATTAGTGCATATACTCTATTATGGTTAGGGCAACAGAACGGCACAAAATCAGAGACTTAAAACAGCACAAATTGTTTTATAATTCCAGAGATGAGAATTCTGAAAGAAAAACATCCACAGGACCATTTTCCCTTGATATGGGAAGAATCCTTATGCACCATGGCTTTTGTTTGTATCCCATCAGGCTTTGCCTCTGTTATCCCATGGTATTGTATCTCTGGGCCTTCAGCTTTGCGTTGTTGTCTTATAAGGATATGTGCGGTGCTGTCTTGGGGCTTGGCCTAAGGCTCTTTCCAAATTCTAAGGAGCTAGAGGGTAGGACCTCGGTATGTGTAATTTTAGTGATACAATTTAACACAGAGTGACTACTACAGAGTGTCTCAAACTCAGAACAGCTGACTCTCTGACATTTTGGTCAGAACCATTCTTCACTCCACTCTCTACCGTAACATTGAAGATGTCTCCAGATGTTACCCAATATGCCCTGCGGGTTAAAGCTCCCTTCAAATGAGAACCTACCGGAGCATATTCTATTTTGGTTTTTTATTTTATTTTGTTGCTTACATTTTTATTTGAAATAAAATTTCTATCTAGGATCTGCTAATATTGACATTGTTCTTGCATATTTTTTCTGTCAGTTCAGTTTCAGTCTTTACAATTTCTTAGTTTTGAAATATTTCTTAATGTTGTTATTAATTTAAATGGATCTGTCACACCATTGCAGCATCTTTATTAAATATTATTTCCCTTTCTACAACTCTTTATAACTGTCTTGACTATTAAGCAAAAGCGTTCTTTTGTGTGGAAGTATTTTTAATGTTTGAAAACATGCTATTTCAGAAATAAACAAATTGAATCAGTGGAGCAGAAGAAACGATTGGAAAGCTACAAAATAAATGAGTAATAAAACCAGATTTCGAATACAATGATCCTGATTCTGTAGTTTGTTCTTTTATCCTCAATTATTGATATTTATTGATATATATATATCAACAGAAAAAAATATTCTAAATGTAGAAACAAGAGAAAAACATGACGATAAAGCAGAAATTAATGACGTAGGAAATGAAAAACTGGAAAAAAAATACAAACCAAAGCTCGTTCTGAGAAAGGACTAATAACCACTAAAACTGATATAGCTGTACCAAGTATGATCCAGGATAAAAATCACAAAAAAGAAGTTATACAGTATCATTACCAAGGAAGAGAGAGAAAACATGACTGTTGACCTTGAAGATATGAGACAAACAATGACACAATATTCTGGAGAACATTGAGGTATAATATTTCATAAACCTTATTAAAATAGTTTTGAAAGAAATAAACTAACAACTGATTCAAAAGATACATAAAAACTTAAAAGCTTTTTGTGCAATGAATCTTTAAAATATATTTAGAACCTTCTAACAATGGATGTTCTAGTCGCAGATGGTTTAACTGGTGAATTTCAGCAACATGTTAAGAAGGAATATTATATTTGGTAGTAGAGAAGGTAAAATAATAACACACAACACTACAAATTTTTAGAACTAGAATTATTTTGTATTCAAGCTGAGAAGTACATTTCAAAAATATCAAACTATACACCTATACTGTTTATAAATACAATGTAGATTAATAATGAACAGTTATCTGATAAAATATTATAAAATGCAACCTAGTAACATCTGTAGGATGATACATTTGAAATATAACTCAACATTAGTCTTATGAATATATAAAAGTAGATAATGCTACCAATAGATTGAACAAAAGCAATTAGGAAAATTGTTTCATTATGAAAATTCCTTGGAAAACATTGTGTAAAACATGTAATTTCCAAGGTATTTTGTGTTTTATGTATCCAAGTCATCTTTCATATTCCCCCTAAGTTCAAAAACCATATAGACCTTCCTAATATTATTAGTTATTCCTAATAAAGTCCAGGAAGTTCTAATAGGTGCATTAAATAAATAAAAAGGAATGAATATCTTAGTG